TAGCTATTGTACCAATTATTGAGGATCTTCATAGTGCTGGAAACGAGGAGCTCTAGAAAGTAGTGTCTTAAGCATTCACCCTTTCTCCAGACTTGGATCCATTTCATGATTTAATTCTCATTGTAGACTCAACAGGCTTCTACACCAGAGTTTCTCAACAGCAGCACTATTGACATTTGGGCCAGACTGTTATTTGTTGTGGGGGGCTACCTTGTGTACTGTGGGGTGTTTAGCAGTATCCCAAGCCTCTACCTATTAGTTGCCAGTAGTACCCCCTCTCCAGTTACACCAAAAAATGTATCCAGACATTGCCAACTGTTTTCTAGGGGGTAAAAAATCACAAATACATACCTTCTTCCTTTGAGAACCACTGTGATCAAGGAAAGAGGTAATACAAAATAATCTTTGTCCTAAATTAGTAGTACACTTAGTAGATCCTAAGATTTTACACAGGATCTCTGGTAGCATAGTGCCTAAGGCACTTGACTGCTAACCAGAAGGCTGGCGGTTCAAACCCACCAGCCACTCCTCAGAAGGAAGATGGGAAAATCTACTTCCGTAGTGATACTACCTTGGAAACCCAAGGAGGGGTCTCTATGAGTCGGGTCCAACTCAATGGCACATAACAACAACACAACAAGATTTTACACCACCACTTGTCTGTCAGTTTGTCTTACTGTGGTGGCTTGCATGATGCTGTGAGGCTGGAGCCTATGCCACCAGTATTTCAAATACCAGAGGGTCACCCATAGTGGACAGGTTTCAGCAGAGCTTCCAGACTAAGACAGACTGAGAAGAAGGAGGGGGCCATCCACTTCTCAAAGGGTTGGCCAGTGAAAACTTTATGAGTAGCAGTGAAACACTGTCTGAAAAATTACTGAAAAACTTTATGAATAGCCCTGAAACATTGTCTGATATAGTGCCTGAAGATGAGCCTCTCAGGTCGGAAGGCACTCAAAATACGACTGGGGAAGAGCTCAAAGTAAAGTTGACCTTAGCGATGTGGACAGACTATAAAGCTTTTGGGACCTCCATTTGCTGATGGGGCACAATTCAAAATGGGAAGAAATAACTGCAAACATCTATTAATAGGAACGTGGAATGTATGAAGTATGAATCTGAGAAAAATGGAAGCTGTCAAACATGAAATGGAGCACACAAAGGTCAATATCCTGGTGAGCCGAAATGGACTGGTTTGGGCCAATCACATGATCTGTTATGCCAGGAATGGTAAATTGAAGAAGAATGGCATGGCATTCATCACGAAGAATGTTTCAAGATCTATTCTGAGGTACAGTGCTGTCAGTGATAGGATAATATGCATACGTCTACAAGGAAAGCTAGTTAATACAGCTATTATTCAAATGTGTGCACCAATCATTAAAGCCAAAGATGAAGAAATTAAAGATTTTTTTACCAACTTCACAGTCTGAAGATAACCAAAAATGCAATCAAGATGTTTTGATTATTACTGGTGATTAGAATGCAAAAGTTGAAAACAAAGAAGAATCACTGGTAGTTGGAAAATATGGCTTTGGTGACAAAAATGACATCAGAGATTGCATGATAGAATTTTGAAAGAGCAATGACTTATTCATTGCAAATATCTTTTTACAACAACAATGGCAGTTATATACGTCAACTTCACCAAATAGAATGCACAGGAATGAGATCGAGTATGTCTGTGGAAAAAGGCAATGGAGAAGTGCAATAACATTAGTCAAAACAAGGTCAGGAAATGATTATGCAGCAGACCATCAATTTCTCATATGCAAGTTCAAATTGAAGCTGAAGAAAATTAAAACAAATCCACGAGAGCCAAAATACAACCTTGGTTATATCCCACCTGAATTTGGAGAAAATCTGAAGAACAGACTTGATGCATTGAACACCAATGACCAAAAACCAGATGAGTTGTGGGATGAGATCAAGAACATCATACATGAAGAGAGCAAAAGGTCATTAAAAACCAGGAGAGGAAGACGCTCTTGAACAGAGAGTAGCTAAAGCAAATGGAAGAAATGACAAAATAAGAGAGCTGGACAGAAGATTTCAAAGAGCAGCTCAAGAAGACATAGTCACTTATTATAATGAAATTTGCAAACCTAGAGTCTTTGGAGTCTTCCCAAGAGGGAAGAACATGTTTGGCATTTCTCAAGCTGAAAGAACTGAAGAAAAAAATTCAAGCCTCAAGTTACAATACTAAAAGATTCTATGGGCAAAATATTAAGTGATGCAGGAAGCATCAAAAGAAGATGGAAGGAAAATGGAGATCCTGGATAGAGTGGGAGGAAAAATGTGGAACAAAATTCAAAAACACAAAAATTACCAGAATTACTGGTCAGATAGAGACTGGTGGAACCCCTGAGACTAAAGCCCCAGGTTACCCTTTGGGTCTAGAAATGAACTCACTTCTGTGGATTGGCTCGCAGCCCAACAGTTTGTTGTTGTTGCTGTTGTTATGTGCCATCTAGTTGGACCCGACTCATAGCAACCTCCCCTTGGGTTTCCGAGGCAGTATCACTACAGAAGTAGATTGGCCAACCTTCCTTCCGAGGAGTGGCTAATGGGTTTGAACCATCAGCCTTCTGGTTAGCAGTCAAGTGCCTTAGGCACTATACTACCTGAGCTCCAGAAAGACCTACAAGCAGAATACCTACCCCAGGGTAATGCACCCACCTACTCTAGGGCGATGCACCACTTAGATCAATCAGCCATGAGACACCAGAAGGGCAGCATTCACATAGAGAGAAAGCTAGACAGACAGGAATGCATAATTAAGAAGGGCACAGGGAGGGGGTAGTCACATGGAAAGGGAGGGGAGCAGAGTTTTTTATGGTTGGGGATGGTAATCAGGCATGAAATCAAATGTGCATGAACTGTTGAATGTAAATCAAATTTGCTTTGTAAATTTGCACCCCAAGCACAATTTAAGACAAAAAGATGGAAGGAATCCACAGAGTCACTATACAAAAATTAATTGGTCAATGTTCAGCCATTTCAGGAGATGGCATAGGATTAAGAACTAATGGTATTAAAGGAAAAAAATGAAGCTGCACTGAAGGAATTGGTGAAAAACAAGGTTCCAGGAATTGATGGCATACCTAATGAGTTATTTCAACAAATGGATGCCATACTGGAGGTACCTATCTATGCCAAGTAATGTGGAAGATGGCTACCTGGCCAACTGACTGGAAGAGATGCATATACAATACATATATACACTTCAAAGAAAGGTGATCAACAAAATGTGGAAATTATTGAACAATATTAACGTCACACACAAGTAGAATTTTGCTGAAGATAATGCAAAAATGAGAGGGAACTTCCAGAAATGCAAGCTGGATTCAGAAGAAGATGTGGAATGAGGGATATCATTACTGATGTCAGATGGATCTTGGCTGAAAGCAAAGAACACCAGAAAAATATTTACTTGTTTTTTATTGACTATGCAAAAGCAGATCATAACAAATTATGGATAACATTGAGAAGAATGGGAATTCAAGAACACTTTATTGTGCTCATAAGGAACCTGCACATAGACCAGGAGGCTTCATTCAAATGGAACAAGGGGGTACTGCATAGTTTGAAATCCGGAAGGGTGTGCATCAGGGCTGTACCTTTTCACCATAGTTATTCAATCTGTATGCTGAGCAAATAATCCAAGAAACTATATTATATGAAGAACAACACTGCATCAGTATTGGAGGAAGACTCATTAACAACCTGTGATATGCAAATGACACAACTTTGCTTGCTGAAAGTGAAGATGACTTGAAGCACTTACTGATAAAGATCAAAGATTACAGTCTGCAGGATGGATTACACCTCAACTTATTACCCACCCACTGCCATTGAGTTGATTCTGACTCATAGCAACCCCCATTGGGTTTCCGAGGTAGTAAATCTTTATGGAAGCAGATTGCCCCATCTTCTTTCCATGGAGTGGCTGGTGGGTTTGAACTGCCAGCCTTCTCATTAGCAGTCAAATGCCTTAAGCACTGCACCACGAGAGCTCCTTAACAGCTGAACACCTCAGCATAAAATGAAAGTTTCAGCTGGACCAGTAAGCAACATCATGATATATAGAGAAAAGATTGATGTTGTCAAAGATTTCATATTACTTGGATCCACATCAACACCCATGGAAGCAGCAATCAAGAAATCAGATGTCATATTGCACTGGGCAAAGCTACAAAAGACCTCTTTAAGGTGTTGAAGAGCAAGATGTCACTTTGAAGACTAAGGTGTGCCTAACGCAGTAAAGAAAGGAATGATTTGGCTTTGTTATTTTCTTATAGTCCTGCTTCCTCTCTGAGGATAGTTCCTGACAGCACAGTTTAATAAACTTCAGAGAGAACAAAGCCAGTTATCTCAGTCTTCAGCATTCACAACAGTGTGCATTATAAAATCCTGTGCTGTGTGAAACTGCAGTCTCCCTATCTTCCTGCCAAGGAGCGCTGGTGGTGCAGTGGTTAAGTGCTCAGTGATTCAAACCCACCAACCGCTGCTCTATTGGTGCAGTGCCTAAGGCACTTGACTGCTAACCAGAAGGTTGGCGGTTCAAACCCACCAGCCACTTCACAAAAGGAAGACTGGGCAGTCTACTTAAAGATTTATTGCCTCAGAAACCCAAAGGAAGTCACTATGAGTCGGAATAGACTCAACGGCGCTGAGTTTGTTTTGGTTTTTAACGGTTCTATGGGAGACAGATGAGGCAGTCTGCTTCCATAAAGATTTATTGCCTTGGAAACTTTAGCAGTTCTATTCTCTTCTACAGGGTCGCGATGAGCCAGAATCAACTTGAAGGCAACAGTGTTTTGATTTTATGCCAATTTATGAGGAAATAACCTGAATTTTAGCAGTTCTTCAATTTGGGCTTGGAGGCTGGTGGGGAGTGGGAGATGGAAGACAATTGGTTCATTTGCTGTTTTGTTTTTGTCTCTTCCTGGGTAGCCCTCTTGGGGAGGGATTCTCTGACTTCTCCATATTTGTCTCAGGTCACTCTGCTGATTGCCTTCATCTGCGTGAGAAGCTCTGTGTGGAAGGACTACAGTGCCTACAGCTACTTTGAAGTGGTCACCATTTGCGACTTGATAATGATCCTCATCTTTTACCTGGTCCACCTCTTCCGTCTCTACCGCATGCTCACCTGTATCAGCTGGCCCCTATCGGTAAGGGAATGGCCTGGCTCCATTCATAGCTCCATGGGCAGTCTGTGGAGGGCCTAATGCAAAAGTTAGAGTGTTAGCTGGGACATGCAGACCTGATGAAGCACTTCCCATCTGTCCACCCTACCTCCTTGACTCTCCTTTAGTATTTCAGCCCTGAGCTTCCCACTATTTGATATCCTGCTGATGTCTAAAACTCCCTTCTCAGCTCCAGGAAGGCTGTGTGCACATGAGCCAGAAAGAGTAACATGGAAGAAACTAACTGATAAGGAGGGTGGGTATTTATACTCTTAATGAGAATTGAAGGATAAGAGCCATTAGCTATAATGAACTGACAGGGACTGAGGAGAGAAATCAGAGGTTGTCAGGCTTTTTCTCCCCACTATAGAATGATATGTTTAATAACTTCACTGAGTTCTAATTCACATGCTATACAATTCACCCATTTAAACTGTACAACTCAGTGGCTTTTAGTATATTAAGAGTCATGCAAGCATCACAACTTTAGAATGTTTTCAATTTAGATCAGTGTCAGAACATTTTCATCACCTGAAAAAGAAACTTCATGCACCAACATGACTATAGCATTATTCACAGTAGCCAAAAGGTAGAAACAACCAAAGTGTCCATCAGCAAATGAATGAGTAAACAAAATATGGAGGGTACATGCAATGGATTATTATTCGGTCATAAAGAGAAATGGAGTTCTGATACATGCTATGACATGGATGAACTTTGAAAATACTATGCCAAGTGATATAAGTCAGACACAAAAGGAGAAATATGATAGGATCCCACTTATGTTAAATCTCTAGACTAAACAGATGCATGGAGACCAAACTTTATTAGTGGTTACAAGGGTTGGGGGATGGGAAATGGAGAGAGATTGCTTGAGCTGTGCTGAGTCTCTTTGTAGTAATGAAAAACTTTTGGAAATTGATATGGGGGATGATTACACAACATGAATGTAATGTCACTGAATTATATACTTTAAAATGACAAATTTTTGTTACATATATTTTACCATAATAAAATTTTTTTTTTTTTTTCAAAAAAAAGGAAACGCCATACCCTTTTAGCAATCACCCTTCTATACCCTCATCCCCTAAATAACCAGTAATCTATTGTCTATACATATGAATTTGACTATTCTAGGACATTTCTAATAAATGGAATCATATAATAGTGCCCTTTTGTGGCTAACTTCTTTAACTTAGCATAATGTTTTCAAGTTTTGCCATTGCTTCATTTCTTTCTAAGGGCAAGATTAGATATGCCATTGTATGGATATATCACATTTTATATATCCACTTATCAGCTGATGGACTTTAGGGTTGTTTCCTGCTTTTCACTCTTAGTAGTAATGCTGCTATGAACATTCATGCACATGTTTTGATAATGAACATATGTTTTCATTTCACTTGGGCATATACCTGAGTGGAAATACTACCTCATATGGTAACTCCATTTAACCTTTTGAAGAACCACCAGATTGTTTTCCAAAATGCCTAAACCCTTCTACATTCCTAGTTCTGCTGGTGTAGTGACTAACCAGAAGGCTGGAAGTTCAAACCCATCAGCCACTCCACAGAAGGAAGATTGGGCAACCTACTTCTGTAGTGATTCCACCTCAGAAATCCAAGGAGGGGTCACTATGAGGCGGATCCAACTCAATGGCAGTGAGTTTGGTTTTGGTGAGCGATATGAGAGTTCAAATTTTTCCACATCTTCTCCAACATCATTAATAGTGGATGTGAAGTGGTATCTCGTTATGTGCCGTCAACTCGGACCCGACTCATAGCGACCCCTCCTTCCAGTATCACTACAGAAGTAGATTGCCCAACCTTCCTTCCGAGGAGTGGCTGGTGGGTTTAAACCACCAGCCTTCTGGTTAGCAATCAAGTGCCTTAGGCACTACGCCACCAAAGCTCCTGGTATCTGATTAGGGCTTTGATTTGTACTTCCTTGATGCTTAATGATTTCAAGATCTTTTCACATGCCTGTTGGCCACATGTGTGTCTTCTTTGGAGAAATGTCTATCACATTCTTTGCCTATTTTTAACTTTTCATTATGATTTGAGTAAACTCATCATCTTTCATTGTTGAGTGAAAGTTTACAGAAAAAAATTGGTTTTCCATTCAACAATTCATATACATTTTATTTCTTGACATTCATTGCAATCCCTACAATGTATCATCATTCTTCTCACTTCCTCCCTGTGTTTACCATTTCCATTTGTCTTTCTTTCTTGTTCTTTCTAACATTTATCCCTGGTATCTTTACCCAAAATTGATTGTTGTAAAAAGCACATACTTCCCTGGTGCTGTTGTTCACCTTATTGGCCTATTGTTTGGCTCAAAGTTGAGCCACAGGGATAAGTTCAGTTCCAGGTTTGAAGGGTGACTATGGGCCTCAGAAGTTCTTTACCCATTTTTTAATTGGATTTTCTTTTTACTGTTGAGTTCTTTATCTATTCTAGATACTGAGACCTTATCAGATACATGATTTGCCAATATTTTCTCTCATTCTGTGGATGGTTTTTTCACTTGAGTGCTTCAAAAGACACCATCTAAAGTTTTTAATTTTGATGAAGTCTAATTTACCTGTTTTTTCTTTCATTATTCATGATTCTGATATCATATCTAAGGATTCATTGCCAAATAAGGAGATCATTAAGTTTCTATGTTGTCTGAGAGTTTTATAATTTTAGCTCTATTTAGATCTTTGATCCATTTTGAGGTAATTTTTGTATATGGTGTGAGGTAAGGATCTACTTTAATTAATTTGCATATGACAGTACAGTTGACCCAGCATCAGTTGTTGAAAAGGTTCTCTTTTTTCTATTGAATGTTCTTGTCACCCTTGTCAAGAATCAGCTGACGATAGACACAGGTTTGTTTCTGAACTCTCAATTTTTATATGTGTATTCCTACACTAGTACCACATTGTTTTGATTATTGTTGCTTTGTACTAAGATTTGAAATCTGAAGTGTGAATCTTCTCACTCATGTTTTATGATAGTTTTGGCTATTCCAGGTTTCTTAAATTCCATATGAATTTTAGAATCAGTTTGTCAATTTCTATAAAGAAGTCAGCAATTTTGATAGGAATTACATTGAATCTATAGAGCAGTTTGAGAAGTTGGCCATCTTAATATTAAATCTTATCCTTGACCATGTTTTTCTGTTTATTATACATCTTCCCTAATTTCAGAGTATAAGTTTCACATTTTTGTTAACTTTATTCTTAAGTATTTTATCTTTATGCTATTTCGAATGGAATTATTTTCTTAATTTTCAGATTGTTCTTTGCTAGTGTATAGACATACAAGTGATTTCTATATATTGATCTTATATCCTACAACCTTGCTAAGCTTGGTTACTAGTTTAATAGTTTTTTAGTAGATTCCTTAGGATTTTCTATACATAAAATCATGTCACCTGCAAGTAGAAATAGTTTTTCTTCCTTTCCAATTGGATATTTTTTTTCTTGCCTAACTGTCCTGTCTAAAGCCTCCAGTACAATGTTGAATAGAAATGGTGAGAGTGGACATCCTTATTTTGTTCCTGGTCTTAAAGGGAAGGCATGCAGTCCTTCATTAAGTATGTTAGCTATAGGTTTCTCCATAGAGGCCCTTTATCAGGTTGAGGAAGTTCCCTTCTGATCCTAGTTTATTGAGGGTGTTTTTGTTCTGTTCTCATGAAAGAGAGCTCTGGTGGCATAGTGGTTAAGGCATTCAGCTGCTAACCAAAAGGTCACCAGTTCAACCCCACCAGTCATTCCACAGGAGAAAGGTAAGGCAGTCTGCTTCTGTAAAGATTTACAGCCTTGGAAACCTAATGGGGACAGTTCTGCTCTGTCCTATAGGGTCGCTTTAAGTTGGAATTGACTCAATGGCAATAAGTTGGGTTTGGTTTATTGAGATAATCTGTGATTATTTTTGGTTTGTATTCTATTGACATGGGTTTTTGTTTTTTTTTGCTGTGTTTCCTCCTCCCCCCACCCCACCCCCAGTAACCTACAAAGAAATTGTCCTTCCATATAGAAACCTTTCCTGACTTTTTACAATAACAGATGGATACAGTATTTATCTTTCTGTGATTGACTTATTTCACTCAGCATCATATACTCCAAGTTCATCCACATTATGTGGTATTTTGCAGATTCTGCATCATTCTTTAGGGTTGCATAGTATTCCATTGTGTGTATATACCATAGTTTAGTTATCCATTCTTCTGTTGATGGTCACTTAGGTTGTTTACATCTAATTGCTACTGTAAATAGTGCTGCGATGAACACGGGTGTGCATATATCGGTTCTTGTCCTGGCTCTCACTTCTTTAGAATATATACCTAGTAATGGGATTGCTGGATCAAATGGTATTTCTAATTCCAGCTTTGTAAGGAATTGCCACACTGCTGTCTACAGTTGTTGTATCATTTGACAGTTCCACCACCAGTGTATGAGACCCCCAATCTCTCCACATCCTCACCAGCATTTGTTGTTTTTCTGTCTTGTTGAACTTTGCTATTACTGCTGGGGCCAGATGGTATCTCTTTATTGTTTTGATTTGCATCTCTCTAATGGCTAATGATATTTGTACGCATTCCCAAGAAAGGTGATCTCCTATGCCGGAATGACAATTTGAAGAGGAATGGCATGGCATTCATCATCACAAAGGATGTTTCAAGATCTGTCCTGAAGTACAATGCTGTCAGTGATAGGATAATATCCATAT